CGCGCCTAGCACGCGCCCTTCCCCATGCGCGCCCACCGTGGCCGCCTTCCCCCGCTGCTACCCCCGGACGCCTCCACCGCCCCGTCCGCTTTCGCCCCTGCCCCGCTTGCGGTTCCCGCAGTGGCTGCCGCCGCTTGCCGTCCCACCTCCGCCCCTTGGTCACGGTCCGGCGAACGCTCGCCGCGCCCTGGGTCTCCCTTCGGGCGCACACGCCCGAGCGCCCGCACCGCTGCCCGTTTACCCGGGCCACTATGGCCTCTAAGTCAATGACAAGGGGCCCCACGTCCCCAGAGAACGTGTCTGTTAAAAAAGGGAGTTAAAAAAATAATAAGATAAAAAATCAATATTAAATAATAAAAATAATTAATTAATTAATTAATTAACTTAATTAATTCTGATTAACTTAGCTAATTAAGATTAATTAATCTAATGACTAATCAACCTAATTAACTACTGTTAATTAGCTAACAGAGTATGACAGTGGGGCCCACCCCCTATTATTACTAATTAGGTTAATTAAAATGTTTAATTAAATATGTGTCACTGACCAGTGGGACCCACTGGTCGAGTTGACCAGTCAACTCTGTTGACTGCTGACATCAGCATGACATCATGCTGATGTCATTATTCCATTTTCGAATTAATTTAAATAACTAATTAAATTCCAGAAATTAATAAAATCTTTAGAAAATCATATCTTTTAATCCGTAACTCGGATTATATTTTCAACATGAAAGTTGCTCAGAACGACGAGACGTATCCGGATAAGCAGTCCGTTCGTCCGCCGCACACCCCTAACCTATCGAACCCGCAACTTTCCCCCTCCGGCTCCTCTGCCCGAAAACATGAAACACCGGGGATATTTTCCCGGATGTTTTCCCCCCTTCACCGGTATCACCTACTACCGCGTTAGGGCACACCGAACACCACGTATTGTCTTGTTACGCTTTGTGATGCCTTGATTTGCTCTGTTATTTATTGTGTTCCCTCTCCGTTACTTCTTTCCGATAGACCCCGAGACTGCCGGCGACCCCCAGTTCGACTACGGTGTTGGTGACTCGTCCTTCTTGCCAGAGCAACCAGGCAAGCCCCCCCTTTGATCACCAGATATCGCCTATTCTCTCTATACTGCTTGCATTAGAGTAGTGTAGCATGTTACTGTTCGGTTACTCCTATTCTGTTGCATAGCCTGTCATTGTTGCTACAGTCATTGATACCTTACCTGCAATCCTAAATACTTAGTATAGGATGCTAATTTATCATCATTGGCTCTACATTCTTGTCAGTCTGCCTTGCTATACTATTGGGCCGTGATCACTCGGGAGGTGATCACGGGTATATACTATACATACATACTATACAGATGGTGACTAAAGTCGGGTCAGCTCGAAGAGTACCCGCGAGTGATTCACGGATTGGGGGGCTGAAAGGACCTTTGTCCCGACGGCCCTCTGTGTGGATCTTTGTGGCGGAGCGACAGGGCAGGTTGAGACCGCCTAGGAGAGAGGTGGGCCTGGCCCTGTTCGGCATTCGCGGATACTTAACACACTTAACGAGATCTTGGTATTTGATCTGAGTTGGCTACGAGCCTATACGCACTAACCATCTACGCGGGAGTAGTTATGGGTATCCCGACGTCGTGGTATCAGCCGAAGCACTTCAGACGTCAGCGACGGAGCGACGCGCGCCGGATTGGACTGGAACGCCTACTAGGCTAGGTCTGCTTCCGGCCGCCCTCGCAACGTGCAGGTGTGCTATGGGCGATGGGCCCAGACCCCTGTGCGCTTAGGTTTAGACCGGCGTGCTGGCCTCTCTGTTTTGCCTAGGTGGGGCTGCGACGTGTTGATCTTCCGAGGCCGGGCATGACCCAGGAAAGTGTGTCTGGCCAAATGGGATCAAGCGTGTTGGGTAAGTTGGTGCACCCCTGCAGGGAAGTTAATCTATTCGAATAGCCGTGATCTTCGGTAACAGGACGACTTGGAGTTGTACCTTGACCTTATGACAACTAGAACCGGATACTTAATAAAACACACCCTTCCAAGTGCCAGATACAACCGGTGGTCGCTCTCCCTCAGGGATACGAGGGGAGGATCGCCGGGTAGGATTATGCTATGCGATGCTTCTTGGAGTTGCTACTTGGAGTTGCTACTTGGAGTTGCTACTTGGAGATGCTACTTGGAGGACTTCAATCTACTCTCTTCTACATGCTGCGAGACGGAGGCTGCCAGAAGCGTAGTCTTTGATAGGACTAGCTATCCCCCCTCTTATTCTGGCATTCCGCAGTTCAGTCCACCGATATGGCCTCCTTACACATATACCCATGCATATGTAGTGTAGTTCCTTGCTTGCGAGTACTTTGGATGAGTACTCACGGTTGCTTTCTCCCCCCTTTTCCCCCCTTTCCTTTCTTTCTGGTTGTCGCAACCAGATGCTGGAGTCCAGGAGCCAGACGCCACCGTCGACGACGACTACTACACCGGAGGTGCCTACTACTACGTGCAGCCTGCTGACGACGGCCAGGAGTAGTTAGGAGGATCCCAGGCAGGAGGCCTGCGCCTCTTTCGATCTGTATCCCAGTTTGTGCTAGCCTTCTTAAGGCAAACTTGTTTAACTTATGTCTGTACTCAGATATTGTTGCTTCCGCTGACTCGTCTATGATCGAGCACTTGTATTCGAGCCCTCGAGGCCCCTGGCTTGTATTATGATGCTTGTATGACTTATTTATGTTTTAGAGTTGTGTTGTGATATCTTCCCGTGAGTCCCTGATCTTGATCGTACACATTTGCGTGCATGATTAGTGTACGATTGAATCGGGGGCGTCACAATAGCCTTGCAGAACTTATACATGGAGTCTAGGCACGTGGACTCGCTCATTCACATATACTCATGAATGAGATCACCGGGTGCCCCGTATGCAACCATCCGCATAGCTGTAGTGCATCTACGATAAGAGGAGAAGCCAATTTTTTTCAGGGCATCCTTCTTGCTCTTGAAATAGTTATCGTACGCCAGCCCCTCCCGGATATGGTTGAACACATGTCTAGCCATCCAAAAGTGGCGTCGAAATAGGTTGTGTTTGAAGAGCCGTTTAGGAGACTCGAAATAGTCCTGCCGGAGTAGGCAATGGCCGCTCTCTCTGTTGCGATTCAACGCCAGAGTATGCCCCGGGATCTAGCCCCTATACATCGGCCACTGCCAACTAATGTGGCCATGTACGACCAAAGCAACAACCACAATATCCTCATCATCGGATGACGAATCATCCGAATTGCAAATGAAATTATTGAAAAAGTAATCGTCACTAGAGTCCATTTGTACCTTGCGGGCGAACCGTCGAACACCTTGCGGACGTGGTGGAAGAAGCTGGCTGGTGAAGAGCCTCGCACCTCTCCGAGACCAGGTAGCAGGAATGTCAGCGTGGAGGCGAACATGGCGGCGTCTGGCGAGCGAGGTACGCGCAAGGCATTGCGGCGAGTGGTGGAGGCGAGGGGGTGCCGTCGATGTTGGAGTGTTGCGACGGCGGCGAAAACAGTGCACCGACGCCGTAGTAATGGGTTTATCGAAGGGTGGTGTGCTGCTGGTGGAGGTATCTGGGTGCGGGTGGCTGGCCCGACACCAGAATTGGGTGCTGGCGGTGGCGGCTGGCGGTCGAGGGAGAAAGGGGAAATGGGCACTGTGCCACCGACTCGCGGGCCAGGGGAGGATAAGGGTGGACGTCGCGCGCGTCTGCTACATGTCCACGCCAACGCAAACACGGCCTAAATTTAGATCTGAAATGAATCTGTGCGTTTGGGTCGGCACGTTGTGCCATATTTGTGTCCGTTTGTATCCAAATGGACCCCCGCGGACAATTTGGGTATCTCCCCCACTGCTCTCCGTCTCTACCCCAATGCTATCATTCCCCATCAAATCCACTCACCGCGGGCCGAGCTGGCGATCCCGGTGGTGCGGCGGTCGCCGAGGAATCTAACCCCGCCCCCTCCTTAGCCGGAGAGGCGGAGCAGCTGCCGTCCACGGAGGAGGCACTGCCGCAGCGGTGGCTCGCGTATGCGATGAGCCGTTGGGCCAGTCCGGCATGATTGGCGCGACGCGGCGGTGCCACACGACGAGCAAGCCACCACCTCGGCGACCTCTCCGAGCGGGCCGCCGACCAGGATCCGTGACAAAGAGGGCGTCGACGGACAGGGCGATTACGGAGGGGGAGGCGGGGGCCTCCCGATCGCCATCAGGGCCGCGCGCCTCTTGGCGGCTCCGGTCAGTCGGTGCGCGTGGGAGGAGCACCCGCGACTCGCGTCGGTTGCGCCAAGAAGAGCACCGGGGTGGCCCGCCGCGTCTGCACATGAGGAGCACAGTGGTTGCCGCTCCTTCAGCGCGCGTGGTGGAGAACTAGCGGCTCGCGTCGGACGTGCGAGGAGGAGCACCGGCGTGTCTTCATCGCCGTCGTTGTTGTCCCTGTGTTTGTTGGGGTGGTGCCGGTGCGCGTCGTGAGGATCCAATCCCTGTGTTTGTTTCAGTACTTCGTTTTGGGGGAGATTATTTCTTCATTCCACATCTATGTGGATGTCTAGCCCATCCGATGAAATGCCATGGTTACTTTTCAGGTTCATTTTTTTTTCGCGTAACTTTTCAGGTTCATTTTGTCATGAACTTTGTATCAATTTTGTCCGAATTTGCCCTATGGACATAGCGCATAATTTTCTGAAACTGCCATGTGTTTGAGCATCGTGTGACAAGCTATGGGTGTGTGGCAACTATAACGACTAAGCTAGGGGGTGTTACTTTCAGGTTCCTTTTCCATGTCTTATATGAGTCTTCTTTTTTTTTTTTCTGATTTTGCCATATGAACATAGCACATATTTCTTAATTTGCCGTGTTTTGAGCATCGTCCTAAATTAGGGTGTCGCCATGATGTGTTCTTCGAGCATCATGGCAAAGTAGTTTATTTTGCATTAATAGCATTTTCACGTGCATTTTCCACATGTCTGAACATTTTTGTAAAATTATATCAGGACATTTTTGGTATATGATGCATGACATTTTTATTGAACATAAGATGACATCAATAAAAATACCATGCAATATACAACACTTTTTGCCATGGCATAATAAAAATGCCATCTGGAAAACAAATAAAAATGACATAGTTACCATGCTATACTATTAATACTGGTAGTACTAAAATAGCGGGGAGCGACCTTTTGGTGGACAGGGGCACTGGCTCCTGTCTTTTCAAATGATTCAAAAGTCATATTTCCAAGTTTATTTTTTTTAACTGTGAAATACATATTCACGGCGGATCTGTGAAATTTTGTTCAAAAATATTATGAGTTGCAAGCTGCACGCACAAAATATCCCGACCCAACAATAAAAAAATGGCCAATTTTCATTTACGTATTTGCTTTTTTTGTCTACGCCATGTATGAAAGTATATTGTCATCAAAATTTTCTTGAACGTTTTATATGTCTATGTGTGTACGTACAATTTTCTTTGATTTCTTGTGCGCTGTGGAAATATGCTTTCCCTAAAGTCCACCAATGCACCCGTCCAACGAAAAGGCATTTTCGTAAAACAGCCATGCTATACTACTAATAGTATTTTCGTAAAACAGCCATGCTATACTACTAATAGTATTTTCGTAAAACAGCCATGCTATACTACTAATAGTTGCCACGTAAGGTGATATAAAAATACCCATCAAAACACTGGTATTTTTGGTAAGATTGTATCATGGCAATTTTTTTGTATGATGCATGACATTCATGATTGAACTCCATGGTATTTTTTGTTTGCATTTAAGGGAAAATGTAAATTTTCTACTTTCATGACATGCAAATTCATAACTTTTTTATTGTATTCTTTAGAGCATGGCATTTCGTAGAGAATATTTTTTCCGCTAATCTTGCCATGTGCAATTTTAATATAGGTACCTTAGCATTTTTAGTTTTTATGTCATGACATTTATACTAATTAGAACATGACAGCTTCAAAGTAGGTAGCATGGCATTTTTTATTATTTAGTCCATGGCAATTTTTTATAATTAGACTCTGGTAAAGAAAAATAGCTACATGGCAATTTTTAGTAATTATACAATAGCATTTTTATAAGTAGATCATGGTTTATTCAACTTACGTAGCATGACAATTTTATTTCTATAGAGCATGGCATTTTTAATAATTAGACCATGGCTTTTTATTAAGTAGACCATGGTAGTTTTAATTTAGTTAGCATGACATCATGGCCATTTTTTATATATGTGGCAATTTTTTGGACTTGTGATTAACTTTTTTCCAACAAGTCCTTTTTTCCTATGTCAATTTTGTAGCATTGTTCTTGACATTTGTCCCAATGGTATTTTTATGTCTATTCCTAGAGCTAGCATGTCTCCATTAGTTTTTTTTGCGGGATGTCACCGTTAGATGTTTTTGTGATAAAAAAATTACTCCATCCGTCCCATAATATAAGAACTTTTTCCAAGCTATGTTAGCTTGAAAAACGCTTTTATATTGGGGTATTGAGGGATTACATGGCAATTTTAGTAATTAGACAATGACATCTTTATTAAGTAGACCACGACATATTCAACTTAGGTAGCATGGCATTTTTATTTCTATAGAGCATGGCATTTTTGACATTTAGACCGTGGTATTTTTATTAAGTAGACCATTGTAGTTTTAATTTGGTATTTTTGGTATATGATTGTGCGTGTTTTGGTAAGTGCGGTTGATTTGGTATATTTGGTATGTGTGGATGCACTATATTTAGTAAGTCCAACCGCATGATTGAGATGTGTATGGGTGTTAATGACGGACCATCATCCACTAACTCTCCTTTAATAGTAGAGACAATAAAGATTTATTGAAGCCAAACTAATATAAACGCTAAATGGTGATAAAACACAAAGTTCACCGGAGATCTGCACAGAAAAATCAGCACATTTTCTGTACACGAGTCGAAATTGGCCATTGACGGGAGTACTGTTGACCACCGGACAAGCTGGACGATACTCGGTTCCGAAGTCACACAGTAAAAGCAGTTACTACCACAAAGCGGCAGGTTAACCGCGTCAGATCATGCGGCATAACCGCGCGTATAACCAGGAGATTCTTCTTCCCCAAGTAAAAAAAAAGCCAGGAGATTCTCCACGAGCACGAAGCACGCGTGGTCGCGGTGCACCATGGGCTGTCGTGCACCACAGCCACGGGCGAGAGAAAAAGGGCGCGCGGTGCGGATGTGGCGGGGCCCGCGCCGAGGATAAGCACCCTTTTTTTCCGTGATGACAAGCACGAACAACGAGCGAGGGATAGAGAAAGAGCACGGGGGCCCGCGGCGCGTACTTTTGCCAGTGACATGCGGGCCCGGCAACCGTGCTGGCGCGGGCCCCGCGCGTCAGTTTCCTCCCTTCTCTCTCGGGCTTTCCGTCCGCGGTGGGGCCTGGTGCGGTTCGGGGGCGGGAAAAGCGTGTGGGCGGCGGGGACCACACGCCGCTCACGTGAGCCCCGGATCTTGCTGGGCAAGCCGAGCCGGGCCGAGCACGTGGCCGCCGGATCCTCTGCGGCAGCGCCGCGTAGGGTTGTTGATGCTGCTGCCGCCGCTAGGCTGGTCCGTCCAACTGCACCGCACCTGGTCCACGGCCCCCGGCCAGTGACCTGCGTGGTGGGGCCCGCCCGGACCGGACGCCCGTGCGATGCCCCTTCCAGATTCCCGCGAGAAGTCTACGTCGACTACGTGTGAATCGCGTAGGCGATGAGATATATACCACGGGGTAGTACGCAGGAGTACTTCTGTACGAACATGGAAATGACTGTCGCCGAGCCGAGCAGTGGGCTGAGAGACGTATGTAAATCCACTTGTATGGAGAATGGTACACCTATGAACAGTACGCTGTTCATAGGTAAGCATGCCGCGTCGATCTCACTTTTGCCGAGGTTGGCAATGGCATGGCAGGTCGCTTGTCACTTCACGGTGGAAAACCACTTGTATGGAGTATGTGTCAATGTCATGGTCACCGTGCTTTTCGTACCAATAATGCATAGATGACACGGAATTATCCCGGGCTCAGCAGCCCTCTTTATTTAATTTATTACTAATAAATTATAAAAAAATCAACCAGGAAGAGTTATTTAAGCAGCAGGTCAAGATCCAAAACTTCACAATGCAGCAAGCAGCGGCAGCCTGGAAAAGCCAAAACAGTCGGCATAGAAAGGAGACGAACGCAAGCAAGCAATGTACAATAGTACGGCCGGCACGGATAGATAGATAGATAAGCATGATGTGTTCCCGTCCGTCCTTGTTGAACGATTCCGAGCATGAATGACATGGACGGAACCGCACCACGCAGGCTCTGTCCAAGCATATACAGATACAGACCCTGCGTCACGGTCGACCTCGAACGGCGCGCCCTGGCTCGAACTCTGCGACGACCAATCCCGCTCCATGCCGGCCAGCCAGACGCCGCGCCGGTTCACATCTCATCAAAGTCCTCGCGTCATCATGCTAGTACTCCGCCGAGGCCGACGAAGCAGCAGTGGGTACCCCGCCCTGCCCTGCCAGCAGCAGCAAAATATCGAATCAGAGTACTTGCCCAGCAGCAAAATCCCAACACACAAAGAGAGAGAGGTAGGGGGAAATCCAGACGGTCGCCGCATTGCATTGCGTCGCGCTCCGGCTCAGGCCCTGGCACGCTGGCCCCCTCTCCCCGTTGACCCGCGGGAGGCTCTCGCCAGAGCTCAGGCATGACGCCAGGGCAGTCGCAGAGCCCCAAGGCCAAGCACCGAATGAACCGCGAGGCGAGCGACACCAACGTATACCTCACACTCGAACAGCGAGCACCAAGGCACCCCGCCAGCCCGCCTCCTCTCGCGGCCACCGTCTCCGACTCGGCTCGCCGGCGAAATCTCGCGTGTCGCCACCTTGTTCCACACCGGCAGCAGCCTTCCAATCCGGGAGACGAGACGACCAGCCGGGCGGCGAGGAGCAGAGGACCTACCTGGGCTCCATGGAGATCGAGAGGGGCGCGCGCGCGCCTTTGCGCTCGCCACCGCGGTGGGTTTTATAATGCCGCTCCTGTTGCTATCAGCTCCCACCGATCTTTCCGTATAAAAAACGATCTCTGCACTGTGCGCGTACAGTAGGAGTACTATTTAAAGGGGTCGATGGGCTCGCACAGCCAGGTCAATTGTATACTCCGTGGTGTGGCGGAGTATTTTAAGGCTTGCGGATCGTGTGGGCGCACCACCACCCGCTGGACTTTCTCCAGTGACGACCTTTGAACGCCACCAAAGGTGCTTGGACCTTTTCAATCGATTAATCTAATTTTGGAGCGAGTACTACCTAAGTATG